CTTAGATCTCTTTGGTTTTCCATACAGAGGCCTTGTGTTCTCATGTTGGAAACTATCAGTTTTGAAGCATATAACTAACAATACCTCACTTCCCATTTGGCTGGCCACACATTAAGCACATTTACTTGGGAATAAGCAGAATGTTGTTAGAGGAAATGATATATTTTAAAGTAACAGCAATGAAACAAGCATTAGTAAATGTGAGCACGGTCTCCATTGCCCCTGACTGTAATTTGTTTTGGTTAATATGAAGGAAGGAAGGATGATATATTGAGTAAGGTCAGTCACAATGAGTCTTTGCATATCCAAGCTAGCTGAGGTGCTGAATAAGGATGTGAAAATCAATTGCAGAATTCCTGATTCCTATTGATATTGTCTGCCTCAACTCAATGAGATGCACCAATGCGGAGCCTGAAAGCCTGGTGAGATTCTTTGTTTCCTGCCAAAATGAGACAAAAAGCTTTTATTCGGTTCATTTAAGGTCTCTGTATTTTGGATAGAAGCCTTCCCCCTTGGGAAAAAAAAAACAGTATGAACACAGAGGAGGCACAAGGGACTGGCTTGTTGTAAGAAAGGCACAAATAACCCAATATAAAACTGTCAAATATCCTTAAAACTAGGAGGTTAACCCAGTACTTTGCAGTTAATTTGTACAAATAGATTAATTTTATGCAAGAAATAATTACAAAAACCATTAGAAAGCAACCTGAAATCTTGACCACCTCTTGCAGGTGAGTAGAAGAATGTAATGATTTCTTATGCTGAGCTATGAAGATGAGACAAGTGAAGATTTACATCTCTAAAACAAATGCCTGGTTTCCACTTGGTCCATCGTCAGCCATCCCTTGGGTATTTTTGAGAGGCCTCCTGGGTTACAAGATCCTGGACTAATATTCCTAGCTGAACCACTGGATTTAATATTGGGATAAGAACAGTCTTGCATGCACTAACACTTGAAATTAGTGGGAAGGTTTTTTTCAGCTTAATGTGTGATTTTCCTTTGCCTCTAACGTGATTGGTAAAGTTCTTTTCCCGCCTCTGGATACGATGAAGCTGAATAAGAACATTACTACAGCCTAATGCTTTCAGATGGAGGTGATTATATCTACATTGATAGGAAAAATATATAAAAATGCATAATAGCATCATTTTGTTTGCTTGTTTTTACCAGCACAAAATTCTATCCTGGGACTATCAATATTACCTGATATAAATTATAGCATATTTTGTGATCAAATCATTTTCATTCAAATAAAGAAATCCACCATATTTTGATGTTCACTCATCCATATCATTCCCATTCACATTATTTAAAGCAGTGTTTTTTCAAATTCAGAGAAGACAGACTGTAGCTATTCTTTGTTTTCTATTTTTCATTTCTTTTGATATTTGTTTGGCATGCAATATTTTCTTCCTAGTACAAAAATAGTGCTTTCCTGTTTTCCCTAAGGACTTTTTCATATACCTGTGAATTTGATTTTTGAGAAGCCCTTGATAAAAAATTGAAGATCTGTATGTATATTAGCATATATTGATTTATTCACCATGTTGCATTACCCATAAGTAAGGCTCTTGTAGTACCAGGAAAGGTTAAGGGGAAAGTAGAGCATGGTATATTTTATTGACAGCTCTGCTGAAATTGAGCCACCTTTAGACTGGTTTTAGAACACAGAGAAGAAATTGGCTAGTAAATAAGTCATGAGTTTTACTTCTGAATACGTTTGTACATCTGCACAGTTGCTATTAATAAACATAATAATAGAACTCAGAGTGAATTTCAAACATGTATTTTGGGGTTGTAGTTCTTAAGGGTGTGTTACTAGTTGCAGTAGTAAATATACTCATGAATATTTGCTCGGGTTTATGCCAGCTTTTTGAGGTGGAAATTGTGTAGAAACTCTGAAATCCAAGGACAGCGATCAAGAAAAGACAATTCAGGTTTTCAAACAAACTCCAGTTTATGAATGTAGAATGTTGTACTTCTGTATCAACAATTGAACCACAGGAAATGCCCTTACATTGCTGCACAATATTATGTCTGTGTTGCTAGCAAGAAAGGAGATGCCAAACTTTACATAGCAAATAGCCTGAATCTTGATGGCATTCATGAAAACAATCAAGATGACCTATAGGATATCATTGTGTGAACACTAACATTCACAAAGGGACACCAAGCAAGGGGAAATCCCAGAAGCTGACTTCTTTTTTCATCAACTACTTCTCACCCAAACACAACAATTGTCAGTACTGTTTTTCAACAATTGTGAATATTAGTGATACTTTTTTTAATGCATTAAAATTTGTGTGCCTTTTTCTGCACACTTCTTGGAATGCATTCTTTTCTAATGCATACTTTTGATCTAATATATCCATTTTTAAAGTAATTTTCATCCTCTAATGCATTTTGACATTATCTTTAATGATACAGACAATTTTGTGTGCACTTTATAGTCATATACCAGGTTTTCCTACTTCTTTAAACTTTAGAATTCCTTTAAAGTATATGAATAAGTTCCAGTTTTGAAGGGGAACCAAGTTACACTTCACATATAATTTTGGAAGATTTTCGTAAAATATATGTGTTGGGGAAAGGGCCATAAAATATACATGTAGGCTGGAGGGGGGAAAAACACCTCTACTTGCCTCTGTGATTATCTTCCCGCTAAGATGAAAGAATCTTAACAAAATGCCTTTGCCCCCCAACCCCGGAATAAAGACGCAAGACAAGTAAGTATGGATTAAATCACGGGCCACACTTTATTAATAACCGTTCTGAAAAAATGTTTGCCAATCAATTAGCAGAGGAGGGTGCTCTGCAGTAGTCCAGAAACAGATAAATCCATCATCATACGGGTGAGTCCCCCGGCCCCAGGTTCTCGTGGTCTTAATGACAGCAGAAACCCGGCTGGTCACTATTAAAACGGCCCCAGACCTCAAGCCATCTTCACTCGTGGCTGTTGGTCCGGAAGTGGCCCAGCATATCTTTCCCACCCAGGTGCTGAATCTCATGATTAGCAGCTCTGGGAAGTCCGATCCACTGTTAGCTTAAGTGATGTTAAAATTGGGACTCACCAAGAAATACCCGTTTTTCTGCACTAACCGCAAGTGTGACCGAAATTTCCACCCTAAATTGTGAACAGCCCCTACTAGTGTGGGATAGGCGAAAAATCCCCCCATTCCAGAACCAATCAGGATGAAGGTCAAAAATTCCTATCCGGCCCCTAAAAGGCAACCAGAAAAACTCACACTAGAAATAGGGCAGGTCGGTGGGTGCCTGAGAAAGAAGAGGCGGTTCGCTGAGAGGACGCCCCTTTTATGCCTAAGGGCGTCCTCCTGCTCTTTTCAACTTCTCGAGAGACTGAAAGAAGTCTTGCGCCATCCGTGGGGGGGCAAGACACTGTTAACGCCGATCAAAGCCTGGCTTGGCTTATCAGCGACTTTGTCATTCAATTCATGACATAAGCATTATGAAATGAGTAGATTTTGTCAGATCATAATTTATCAGATCTATGAACTAGAAAGTTCTGTCACTGGAACTGTAAAATGTTTGATAGGCCAGCAGACATTCTGATGTTCTGTACTGTAAGTGGTCCCAGCTATTCCCTCCATGAAACACAGACAGGATTGCTGTTAAACAAGGGGTTGATTACAACTTGGGATAAAGGTAGACACAAACAAAGTACCATACAGTATTAATAATGAATAATAAAGGCCTCCGTACACTAACTCCCTCTTAACAAGGGGCAGGGGATTTGCTTCTCCTTGTCCTTTACTCAGGGAGGGAGGATGAATCCGTTATCCACCAGGATATTGAGGACTCCCTGGATGTGTGCTAGGCACAGCACGTTACAGCACAGGTGGTAGATGACCACGATTATCCTATCATGGATGGTAATCTCAGCATCCTTCCAGCGATCAGCTTCAGGTGTGGTGAGGCCTTTGGCTGGACAATAGCTGCAGAGGTTGAGTCATTTGGCCAGACATACATCTGAAAGAGTGCAGGTTGCTGTTGGAAACAGGAGGCATCTAGATGTCTTATGGCTGGTTGATGGATTCCCAGGAGTCAACTTCTCTTGGGTCTCATCAGTCCCAGGATGTCCCTTCCCTCACCTTTAACATCTTTGGTGGCAGCACTTCCACTCTCCCAAACAGGAGAGCCACTGTCATTTCTGTGTTCACTGCATCCTGTTGGCCTCCTCAGGCGGTATTGTCAGCTTGACACCACACCACCTCCCAGCTGGCAAAACAGTTTATGTCTACCTTCTCAGGTGCCTCTGCCTGTCAGACTTCTCACTCAGCTGTCTCTGAAGCTCCCTCCCTGTAGTTTGCCTCGTCTCTCCCCTCCTCTTCTCTTCTATCTTCTCCCTCTAAGGGCTCCCTCTTCACATCCACTGGCCCCTTCCACTCTGTTTGGCTTATGCTCTTGCGTGATTCCACCACTTCCTTAATTACAGCCCCAGTCCACCATGGAGCTGCAGGTGGGAAAATCCTTAGAAGGTGGCTGTCAGATTGGAGAACTGCTCTGGGTTGGACTAGACTTGGAAGCAGGGTCCTCTCTGATACCACATCCATTTGCCTCTAAAAATGTTACAAATTAACTCTGACCATAAATTAATACAAATGTTGTGATGTTTCCAGTTACCTAGATCCAAACACGATTTTAGTCAAGAATTCCACTAGTGCATTTGTGCTGTTTTTTTTTTTAACTATTATGGTAACCTAAGAAACAATGGCCAAAACCCTCTTGCCTCATTACACCTGCATAATGAAAATAGTATTTTGTTTTATAGCAAATTACCTCAGGAATGCCAGCTAATGTAATGCCCAAATAGGGTTTTGCTTAGGACTGTGCATTCAGATACAGTTTTATTCATATCTGCTATATTCTTTTCTCCAGTCATTCTAGCTGAAAGTTAGAATTTGTATTTGGAGGGGCTAGAGAATTAAGAAGACATTATAAATTATGCAGGAACTTTCATTTTCTCTTTCCTTCATTTCAGATTACATACAAGGCTGTTGGATCCCTAGATCCCACTGCTGACCTGTCAAATCAGAGAGGAAAGGTCTTCAAACTAAGAAATGAAACTCATCACCTGTTTGTAGGGTTATATCCAGGAACTACCTACTCATTCACCATCAAAGCCAGCACAGTTAAGGGTTTTGGACCTCCCATCACCACACGGATTGCAACGAAAATTGCAGGTATTATACTTAAGAAGAAAGAGAGAGAAAACTTCACTTTCTAGTCTGGTATGAGCAAATGAAGCTGAAAGTAATTAGATTTCTGGAATAGATTTTTACAGAAATATATCTGTAGGGAAGAAGGTATGGCAAATGTGGAAAAAAAATAATAATCCACTCAGTCACATATCACTGAAGGTAATAGTTCTGAAGGTTAGCTCTTCGGGGTTTGTGAAACATTTTGCCTTTTTAAAGTCACATATTAATTCCTGGAGCTATTTCCATCAGCCAAAAATTGATACTGGATAAGGCAACCCACACTACTGAGTTTTGTCAAACTTGAGTTTTTTTCCCTTTCTGAGGCACCTAGCAGTAAGCACCTTCCAGATTTATGACTAAATGGTGCTGTTGGATGAAGAATGATTCCTTCTTACCAAGAAAGCTGGTATAGTACTACCCCCCAACACACACACCCAAAAGGATCTCCTGAATTATAAGTGATTGCTGTATAAAACTCTGTACATAAAACCTTTTGCCCCCCTGTTCCACTCATCCCCTCTGGCTAATAAATTCTTTGAACAGGGTTCCAGGCTGTTATTTTTCCTGAGCATGGAATGTGTTTTTGCAAATCATCCAAAGTTTGTGAAAAGATTGATCTTGAGCAACAAAGTTTCAGTACCAATTTCTGGCTGAAATATTATTGTTTTTTGTATACACAGAAAACAAATGGTGTAACATTCTGTCTCTTTTAGCTGACTATTAACAAGTCACCACTGAGATTCTCTGGGGCGCACATGCCTGCGAATCACAGCAGGGACTTGTTAATTGACAGCTAGAAGGTATTGAAAATTAACACCATTTGCTTACATGACAAAACAATAAAATTTCAGCCAGTGTTTTCATTACTTACATCCACCATTGTAACACAGTTGGTATAAATCTCATTGGCAAATTTCTTCAAGTCAAAAACTTACTGGAGGCATTTTCTGTTGCACATGGAGCAGTGCAGCTTGGAAGAAACCAGCAAATGCCTATGCCAACTTCTTAACTTGTGGCAATTTACTCATGAGATTTATGCCAACTTCACTATGCCAGCATAAAAACTCAGTCGGGTTTGGCCGTTATCCATAAAGTCTTCTGTTAATAGTGGTTCCTAACAGTGTGCTTAGCATAATTGAAGGGAATTTACTTTACAAGTGGTCCGACATTATCAAAACTATGCTAAACACACATTTTGGCATCGCTTGTATGGAGATAAGATCATATCTAAGAGTGTAGCTAGGTGTGAGACCTGCCAGCCTGGCCTGGATCAACATGTGGCCTCTCATACATTCCCTGATCCACCCTGCTCAAATGACCTTAGGTGGTTTAAACAAAGAAAAGTTTATTAAAACTCGGGCAGGGGTTCTAACAAAATGTTTAGCTGGGGGTAGCAGACCTTTCTCTCATAAAGGTAGTTGCTGCCATTAACCTCATCTCAGTTGTGTTCAGTTCAGCAACCCAAGTTGACTGCACTGGGGTGTGGAAATCTTTGCCTTTTCTTATGTGGAAATGCTACAAGGTGCTGAAGCTGAAGGCCCAGAGGAATGATGGCTGTCAGTGGGGGCAGGGAATTATGTGCACTTGGGCTAACTGGGTACAGGTCTGGGGTGGCTGCAGCTGCCACTGCTTTTGGAGTCATCACTCCTTCTACTGCTCAGGTGTCACAGTTGTGTTAGGATTGGCTCCCCTGTACCTGACCCAGGTTGGAATGACTGACCTTGCCTTCCCCCCAGTAGATCAGGCTTTGGGCCAGCATTTAGTGTTGTTGTTTTTTCACCTTCTCGTTTTGGCATCCACAATTGGACCAAGACTCCAGTCCAAGGTTCCACTTGCCCTCCAGCTTGAGGTCTTCCTCCATTTTGTATACCACCTCTAGTTCTCTCTCTTCCCTTTCCAGGCCCTTTCCTCTTCCTAGTCTGAGAGATCCCTAGTCTGCTCCTCCCTCAGACTGGCCTGATTTGCCATTTACCCCTCCCAGGGCTTCTTTTCTATCCCTCATATGTCGCCCTCTTTCTCATTTTTCTTAGGATCCCATTTCTTCTGCCCCTCCTTCTATACCAATTTGTGGGTCTCCTCTTGCCTTCTCTGGCACCTCATCCTCTGTTTTGGGTTTGTACACTCTGGGCCCTGCTTTCCTTAGTACCCATCCAGACCCAGGGGGGTGGGAGTCTTGGTTGCACCAGACTTCCTGGGGGCAGGGCTGAGGCTAGACAAACCTCTAGGGGTGCCCTGTCAGCAACCCCTTTACACTGGGTCAGTTTGTCTCAGTTCTAACAAAGCAGCAGCCCCTTATATACCTTCTGTGGTACCCCTCATCCTTACCACAAAACTGTCATACTGTAGGATCCTCCAACATCTGACTTCTTCTGGGCTTCATATATCCAGTTCCATAATTGTATACCTAACTCACTAGGTGAATCCACATTGATTGAAAACTTGGTGCCAAATTACAAGGGTTGCAAGGGCTACACCTTTTAAAGAGTGCAAATGTATTGCATTATATGTAAAAAAACACCATAGTTTATTTTCTATTTATGTACCCCCTTCCCCCTGATTTTGAAAATGATTTATAGGAAAGTGATCAGAACTACCAGAAAGTAGTCAGAAATATAAAGGTCTAAATCAAGTGTAGAATTAAAAGAGTATAACACTGGGTTAATGACATTTTGTTTTTGTTTTTTCAGTTGCATAAGCGGTACTGCATTTGTTCTCATAGTTCTACAGACAATACTGCTTGTGCAACCAATTGTGGTATTCCTTGTGCAACTGTGCACCACGCTGGAATGTGCATATGTGAGCACAACCATAATAGCAGGCATAAAATGTAACACTTATATAGGTAAAAGTAAAGGCCCCCCTTGACAATTTTTGTCCAGTCGTCTTCGACTCTAGGGGGCGGTGCTCATCCCCGTTTCCAAGCCATAGAGCCAGCGTTTGTCTGAAGATAATCTTCCGTGGTCATATGGCCAGTGCGACTTAGACACGGAACGCTGTTACCTTCCCACCGAAGTGGTCCCTATTTATCTACTTGCATTTGCATGCTTTCGAACCGCTAGGTTGGCAGGAGCTGGGACAAGTGACGGGCGCTCACTCCATCGCGTGGATTTGATCTTACGACTGCTTGGTCTTCTGACCCTGCAGCACAGGCTTCTGCGGTTTAGCCCGCAGCGCCACCACGTCCCTAACACTTATATACTAGCCTCTATCCCCTGGTTCATATAACATTGGCAGATATGCAAGAACATAATATATTCCAAAATAGCAAATCTGAGTTGCCAAAAATACTGGAATGATCCATTCTTGTTAAAGACAAATTCATCACAATCCAAAAATAAAAAGACTAGTACTGATTTTTGAACATCATCCATGTGTTCCATCAAATGTTATGAAAATCCAAAAATAAAAAGGCTAGTGCTGATTCTTGATCATCCATGTGTTCCATCAAATGTTATGATGTCCCAGAGATGATAGCTAACATATGGATTCCTTCTCTCTTCCTAGCACCATCAATGCCTGAATATGATACAGACTCCCCTCTGAATGAAACAGAGACCACCATCACAGTCATGCTGAAGCCTGCACAGTCCCGCGGAGCCCCTGTCAGGTAAAAATTTTGGATGGGAAGATAGCCCTGTTAGTCTGTTGTAGCAAAAACAACTAACAGCACATGATGAGTCAGTGACTTACTCCAAATAAAATTCGCTAGTATCGAAGGTGCCACAAAACTCTTTGTTGGTTTTGTTAGGCAAAATTTAGCTCTCTTCTCATTTAGGCTGTACCTATATTCTACCATTACAAAAGTTTGATACTGCATCATTCTATGGAATCCTGGAGTATGTAGCCTGGTGAGATACGTAAAATTATCGCTAGTAAATGCTCAGCTCAGGTATTTTTCTCCCAGCTACATAATTACAGTTTGCTCTAAGAGTGAAATGAACAGGGAATGCCCATTGCAAAGGAGAGAATGTAGAAGGGAGAGGAAGGATGCATAAATCTAGTCTCCAGATGATGATTTTGTTCTGGCCAAGGTAGCCTGCTTGTAGAATATGCCAGGTAAGTATATTGTTCATATGAAAGCAGTAATTGCAAATCAGTTTATCAACATCAACATTAAGCACAGTCATCAGTTTGAGATTTCTGAAAGCAAATTAATCATCTGTTACTGGTGCCCTCTAGACCAGCTGTGGAAAGGGAACCCTAGCCATCAATTTTGGAATGAGCTACTTTACCCTGCTCAGACCACAAGCCAGACTGCAATATGCATAGCTCTTTGACATTAAAATCAGTGGCTTAGGTGTCTGGCTGCAGAACCAGAGGTTGAGAACAACACAACTAGAACCAGCCTATGTGCTTCTAAGCAAGCTGTAGAGTCCCAGGGCTCTCCCAGAAGAAGGGAATGGAAACCCAAATATTTTCTACCTGGAAATCCATTAAAAGGGTTGCCATAAGGCAGAATTGACTTAACAGCACATGATGATGATGATTAATTTGAGCATTCCCTAATATTAACACCTGATTTGTCAAAAGAACTATGTTGATGGGAATTCCATGGAAACCAAATCACTGCAGGAAGATCTCTTAGAGGACAAATGTTTTCACTATTTTGATGATATCAGTGGCTTTCAGAAACCAAATTACCTCCTATTATGTTTCCATAGAAGCAATGTTTTTGCAATCTCTGGTTCTTAGGGAAAATACACAAAAACGATGGAGTCTGAAATACTGTGGTGTAAACAAATATTCCATTTTCTTTATTAAAGCATATGAAGAATAAAACTTACTTTGTATTGGCTTACGCCAGCTGTATTAAAAATAAAACTCTCTAGGAATCTAGATGTAAGGATTCCGTCACATGACTGTAGTGAATGCACATTGCAAGATGCTGTTGGAGAGCAGGGGGCGGGGGAAGAGAAATCAGAATCAGGGGAAAAATTATTTCATTTTGCCACCTGCTGTCATAAGTCTTGCCATTCTTCTTTTTTATTGAACAGTTTTCCCTTTTAAAAAGGAGGTTGGGTAGAAGAAGTGCAATTTGCTATGCTTTTTCTATATTCAGTAAATGTCTGTGGAAAAAGGAGCCAATTATGAAAATCTTTCTGAGACCACTTTTACTAAATTGTAGTGCAATTTCTTATTTCAGTATAGTGTCTTCTCCTGAAATAATTGAAATGTTGCATATAAATCCACACGTTGTTTACAATGTATGATAGGCCTATTATAAAGATCATATTTTCTTCATAGATAGGACTCCAGTTGTTTTGCAAAGTTAACGAGGAGTGTTGAAGTTTTTCCTTTCCCTGTCTCCCATAAAATTGTGTGTAAAACTGAAAACGTACCAAAAAGGGAAGAGATAACCAGATAGTTCTAGCTTTAGAAGTTGCCTTAGCCAATGTTCTCAATTGGTTTCACTGCTTTCATTTTTAATTTGAGCTAATGTCACACATTCCACATCTGGCATCTACTGTGTACAGCACAAACATTATTTTAAACTTAAATTATTCAGGAGTCCCTGAAAAAGTGATCACATATATGTGTGAAATACATTTACAGATTGACTTGGTCATAGACATGGATACAAATGTAGTTAGCTTTCAATTTCAGTTTTTCACTTTTCTCCAAAATCCAAATGCATATACACTTAGAAATACACATTGAGATTAAACAATTTAGAAATACATATATTGTGAGAAAAGATGTTCTCCTTTTTAAGGAGAAAGGCGGAGTAAAAATAAAATAATACAAATGAATAAACCAAAAAGTAAAATTTTAAAAGTTCAGGTTTTATGCAGAATTTTGTTAAAATCCTTAAATTAATATGAAATACTGTAGAATAGGGTTACGAATGGACATATACTGTAAAAAGTGATGCAAGCTGGAAACAGAATGTTCATCTTTAATAGCAAGTCCTTTAGAGAGTTGATCCAGATTCCGAAGTTAGGTCGTCACATATCATTACTGTTGTACATATTTCGCACAGAAGAGGCTTCTTAGCCCGAGTACAAGAACCCTACTTAGATTTCTTAGGCAGGGTCTGAGACAACAGTAGGTTAAGTGCATTTGCTTTAGGCCCTCCAGTGAGGATGGGGAAGGGGGGGCAGAGAAAAGTTATTGTCCCCCCCCCTCCCGATTCCTTGTTAGAACATGGCTGGCGAATTGCTCAAGCATCTGAACAATTGAGATGTGGATGTAATATGTTACTGGCTTTCGTTACAGATAAGACAAACTACATGGTTTGGCCACTTCTTGGCCTGCTGTTGCCTGGATGCTAGTGAGGAAAAAAGACCCATTCCTCATCTAAGGTACCAGTGATCTGCCATGTGGTGATGTTGTTTCAGCATGGCCGGCCCTGGTAGCATCAGATCCAGCTTAATTTTTAGACGAGTCACTGTCTGGGGCCCAGTCTAATCAGATCAGATCCATGTGCAGTTGACCCACCAAATCTATTTCAAAAAATTGGTTTTGTTGAGTCTAATGCTAATTATAATTTAAAGCAAAACAATAACTCTAACAAGCCTTTCCCTTTTAAAAGGGTCTGAAATTAGTTATAATGGAAACTTTGTGTGTGTGTGTAACAGGTAAAGCTACACCTTTAATACCTCACTTACCTTGAAAATCCTATCAGGTTTGTTATAGGTTGGTTTTATCTTAATGGCAGATAATACACAAAAAGTGACCACACAGTGGTTTATGTATCTGGCTGTGGAGCCAGTGGTTAGTAGTTCAGTCCCCCACTGTGCCTCCTTGATAGGGACTGGACTCAATGATCAGTGAGGGTCCCTTCCAGCAATGCATTTTTAAGACTATTATAATGTCACTGCATATTGCTTTCCTACTTGTTTTGAACACATCAGAAACAATACAAACAGTGGGCAAGGAATTCTTGTCAGAAATCTTTTGGGGGAGAGTTGATTACCTTCACAAAGTAACTTTATTGTTGGATGCTGATTTGGTAGCTACAGCTATAGATCAAGAAAGAAGCTAAGGACAAACAATTGAGATGTGGATGTAATATGTTACTGGTTTTCGCTACAGATGAGACAGGCAGGAAAGTGCTTACTGCTGAGGCAGGCTTTCTGTACAGCTTTCCATTAATATTGAGTATCTGCTTTATTGTATGTTTTTCTTCTCAAATAAAAAGGCATATTTGCTCTGTAAGCAGTAAACAAATGCAAGGAAACACACTAAGAAAGTACAGGTAGAGAACTGGAAACATTAATGAGGAAGTTTGTTTTCTGTCTTATTTCGCCTACATCAAATTTAACTATGCAACAGTCAGTGTTCAGTATCAAAACGGGTATCTTCAGTCTGGAAATTATGTGCAAAAGTCCATTCAAATGGTCAAGTGACAAGAATCCTTTCCTTCTAAAGAAAAAAAATAATCTTGCTTGTGGATCTAAGAGGTGCAGGCAGCAATCCAACATGGTGTCCTGTTCCACACTGTGTCGGATAAGTAAAGCTGATGGCCAGTACAATCCCAGACCAAGGAAGGAGGAGAGCAGAAACTGGGAATCTCACTGTAAGTAGACTCCCAGGAAGGCAATCTGAAGCCATAGTTAAAGAAGCAGTTCAAATGGTCAAACAAGGTTCAGGCAATCTAGAGCAAGGGATTTAGGCACACAGAAACAATACAAAGGCTGTCAGACAATTTGCTTTCAACAGCTTTTTGGAAACCTATCCAGCACACTGTTCCAGGTGTTCAGGTGGCAAAAGAAGAACTCAATTGCAGGGTTTGGCTCAGACTCTCCCTGGAAGAAAGAGCCTACTCGTGAAAAGACCACTTGCTCACAAGGACCATTCTTGGGACTCCATACAAAGCTCATGCCTCCAGCCTTCTTCACCTCTGAGTGGTTGTCTTACCACCTTCTCAAACTCAGCTCCTAGCCCCCCACCCACCCATCAACATGCTTAAGCCTCCAATGCATCTGCAGGCTCAGGTTCCTGGTTCCCTGAAGGTTCAGGTTCTCCAGGGTCAAGCAAGTTTTCCACTCATCCAGCTTTGGATTTTCCAGTTTCTCAGGCTTGTCTTTACTGAAGGACTTCTCTGTTGAAGCCACAATAGGTGGAGGACGCCAAGAGGTCAGTAGCAAACCCTTAAAGAATGGCTGGGAAACACGAACACTCCTCACTTGATTCCAGGCTCTTCTACAGATTTAACATCCCTCTTCCCCCTGGGCCTCCTGATTGGCTGCCAATGACTATGGTGGGTTACACCACCGCATCTCTGCTATTGCTGCTGTGATGCTATTGGATAAAAAAAATGATCAGGTGATTTTGACACACAAAGGATGGAATTTTACAGGGAACATCAAAGAAACACGAAACTTTAGTGAATCCCTCTTTCATTAATATGAATTATGCTTGTTTTAGAAGCTGTGTTTCAAATTTAAGAAAAGAACACAAAAGGGAAAGAAACAGCATCCTCGCCCTCCCACCCTCGGTTCAAATGAAAGTCGCATTTGTACTATCCTCTTTAATCACTCTTGCCATACCAATTAATGGCTTTTCAAATCTGTGCCATGTATTCTTTGTTGTCTCTTTGGAAGTTCTCATTCATCTTCATCCCCATCCAAACTCCAAAGTGGCAAGTGCTTTAACCTTTCTTCA